ATATTTGGTGGTACGATTGTGGGGTTCGCTGGCACAGTGGTGCCATCGGGCAGGATAGCGGCTATAGGTCGGCCACGCTCGTCCACAGGACCGCCGTGCATCAGCCACAGCATCTTGTGTATATCAGCCGTGAGGCTCTCCGTCAAGCTGATGCTGTGCGTCGAGTTCGAAGATGAGGAATTGCGTGAACAAGCTGGCAGCATGGCCAGCTTCTGCTGTTGCTTGACCAAAGCCAATTCATTGCTACTGTCGCCGCCAGCAATGGCCCGTCGGCGACGCAGTTCGTCCACTTCGCGGTACTTGGCCACCTTTGGTATAGCGCCAAGGCTGCGTGCAGCCATGCGTGAAGTGCAGGGCTGCTCCTCGTCAAGCTCGTGATCCAGATGCCGGTCGGGCTCGTGCTCCTGCAGCAAGAGCTGGTCCTTGGAACTGGCGCTCACATGCTCGCAATCGCTGGACGGACAGCCAGAGTCAGCTTCGCTGCCTATCAACTGGCTGCGCATCTCCAAGGGCTGCTGTTGCTGCTGCTGTTGGAGCTTCTTTGGCTGGGTGAACTCTTGACGCAACGCCTGCTCGGCCGCTTGCTCCCGTGCGCTGAGCTGTTGCTGTCGATTGCTGAGCAAAGGGGAACGTGAGCCCGTGTTGTTGTCTGTCTCCTCATCGTCTGATGGCAGAGCAACAACGTTTGCTACGGCTGATGCATTTGCAATGGTTGTTGCTGCTGCTGCAGCTCCTGCTGCTCCTCCTGCTCCTGATCCTGTTCCACACGCTCCTCCGCCATTCAGTTCACAGTTCTTGAGCACATCGTCCAGCTGGCTTTGCGTATGCTGCAGTTCACTAAGTATGTGCTCCAGATTGTCATCGAAATCCTTGAAGACATCATCATCGTCGTCGGCCAAAATGCCGCCGACATCGGACTCGGCACTGCGATGCGTTTGGCTGCAGCCCAGGGCGCGCGTGCGACGCCTCAATGGCACATCATCCACTTCATCATCATCAACATCCAGCTGATGATCGGTGTCGTCCTCATACACGTCCTCCTCCACGTCATCATCATCGTAGTCCACTTGCAGCTTTGGGTCATCGTTCATTTTCTCATCCAAATGCTCGACTATGGGATAGACGGGTGGTTCGATTAGAGCGGTGGTCGACCCGCAGGCGCTAGAGCTGCCAAAGATGACGCTGCTGCAGCTGCCAATAGCTCCAGGTCCGCCAGTTGCACTCTCTGCAAAGTTCTGGTCAAGTCTTAGATTCAAATGTTGATTGCGCACGAGACTTTTGCTGGGCGGCGGCAATGGATTTCGCAACTGCTGCTGCCCGCTAATCGCCTCCACGCTATTCGGATGCGGACTTAAATTCGAGACAGATGGCTGCGTACAGAGAACCTCCAGGGCGGCGCTCTTAATGCGACGCACACCGCCACCGCCACCTTGATTGTTCGACGAGGAATTCAACAATGTAGTCTTGGAGCTGGAGTTAGGATTGCTGCTCTGCTTTTGGTAGCTTGTGGCATTGGAATGTCTGCGCCGCTTCATTGCATTCGCCGAGCGATTCGGTTCCGTCAATTGAGTCGAATTACAGAGCTGCAGTGCAGACATTGTGCTATTTCGGTCCTTGCGCACCAAATGGTGATTGTGCAGCTGCTGATGATGGTGGTGGTGATGATGATGATGATGGTTGTGCAAGTGAGGCTGCTGGGCACGAAATGTCGCCTGATGCAGCGACTGCTGCTCAATGCCCAAGTCTGATTTGGTATAGCTGTCATCCTCCAAGTACACATCCGAAGAGGAATCTACAAAAGAGAAGCTAGTTACTATTCTATACATATATGAATAGCTGTAGAGCTTATGTGGCTCTTGGCAATACCCAATATCGATATGCGTCTAAGCGCCAAGGCCAGCTCCATATCGTYCACATCGACATTTTGTTGCTGCTGCTGCTGTTGTTGCTGCTGCTGTTCGGCAGCATGTTGCTGCTGCTCGAGCTGTAGCTGTTGCAGCTGCTGCTGATGCTGCAACTTTTGCTGTTGCTTGAGCAGTTGCTTTTGCTGTTGCTGCTGGAAATGTTGCTGCTGATGTTGCAGCAGTGTTTGCTGCATCGATTGAAACAATCCAATGCGGCTTTGATGCTTCAGTCGCTCTTCATGCGTTTCAGAGCTGCGATGTCGCTGCAATCGCAAGGAACGTGTATGGGGCTGCTGGACAAGCAACACCGATGAGGAAGACGATGCGGAGCAGCCATCGTTGCTAGCTCCAGTTGGAGCTCCAGTTGCAGTGCCAGCTCCACTTCCATTTGCACTCGCTGCTGTCGCTGAAGCTCCTCCCGCTGGGTTAACCATGAAAAGCTGACGAGAATTATGACCAGGCCTCATTGCTTTCGTGTGCAGGAAGCTGGGTGACGCAGCAGCTGCAGCTGCAGCCGCTGCTGTTGCCGCGGATCTTGTTGTGGCTATTGTATCGGATTGATTTCGCATTAGCTCCGTGTTTAGCATATCATCTAGAGCACTGCTGGCATCCAGGCTCGCCTGTCGCTCCAGCTGACGCCGATGTCGACGACTAAACAAATGGCGTCCCGTGCGACCAGCTCCAGCTACAGCTACTGTTCCAGACCCGGTTCCAGCAGTTGCTCCAGTTGATGCTGCTGTAGTCGATGCTGCTGCAGCTACTGCTCCAGTTGATCCTCCAACTGCTGCCGCTTCCTCGTTATCATCCGAATTAGCAGGCACCACAAGTTCCACAAGCTCGGGATAAACAGTCAGGTATTTGCTATATAACTCATTGGCATAACCAGGATTTGTTGCAGCTGCTGATCTTATGGATTTGCTAACACTAGCGGAGCCAGCAAGCGATTGCTGATCCTGTTGGCTGCCACCAGATAGCATTGACGGGGCATAAAACATTAACTCAATGGACTCGGAGCTGTTCTTGCGATGCACATCAACCTTGAGATCTACAAAGCTCAGGAGGATTAATAAGAGATCCACTAGAAATATGGTATATATGCTATGCGCTTCGCCTACCTATAATGCTATTGGCATTGTCTATGGACATTATGCTATTCTCCTCGCTGGCTTCATTGATTGGCTGTTCCATGGATAAACGTGATCCGTCGCCGGCTATAGCGCGCATTACTTTCATTTCGATGCCGTTCTCTTCGTCCGGTTCGCGTGTCTCCATCTCCTTGGTGACCTTGAAGAAGTGACTCTTCAGATTCACCTCGGACATGGTTTGGGCCCGATCGTAGAGGCGATGCAATGCCAAATTCGCCAGCTTCACCATCAATATGGTGCAGCTGGTTAACACGCAATACAGACACCAGGTTAGCCATGTGCTGGGAAAATACTGGAACAAGAAGGAAGAGATGACAGTTAATTTCAGATTCGAGTAGACTATCACCATTCAGCGCTCACCAGGTAGGCAACAAAGGGCGAACAAAGCAGATAGAGCCATAAATACAAATGGACAACATTGCAGAATACGCCCTGATGCGGATCATAAAAATAGCCGCCGGTCAGCGAGGCCCACACGCCTTGGCGCAGTATCTCCAAGGTTTGTGAACCCATGGTGGCCTATACTGCATCGCTCTTAAATGCACTCAAAGGATTCTCGCCTTGGCTCTGTTGTTTTATTAACTTATTTGTATTTTTAATTTTTTTTTTTTCACTCGATTATCAATTTGTTATCGCTTAATTTGCAGGTTTTGGGGTGGGGTGTTTGGAGAGGAGCTTAAAGCTCAAAAGCGGAGTTGAAATTTGAGTGGGAATGCTTGCTTACAATAAGAAAGACTGAGATAGAGGATAAGGAAGGGAGGTAGGCAGGGAGAGGGGAAGAGGCAATGAGAGGGAAGTGTTGGAAGAGGAGAAGGAAGAGGAGCGCGCAAAAGTGTAGGCGTGTTTGTGTGACTGAGCGTGTGCGTGTGTGTGTGAATTGGCACAAACGGGAGGCTGGAATTCGGGTAAAAAAAAAAATAATAAAAATAACAATGCAGCCACTTGCAAATCGAAGACTATTGTCAATTTGTTGCACTTGCGCTGCAATAGGATTTGATTTCACATCGATTTAATTGTTGTTGCTGCTGCTGCTGTCTTCGTGGTTGCAGTTGGAACGTGTTGATTTTCTTTTTGTAGCTTGCTGCTGTTTTTGTTGTTGTTTTTGTTGTTGCTGCTGCTGCTGCTGTTGCTGTTGTCATTGTTGTTTGTTATCAACACTAAAACAAGAACATCTTGTGCATTCGCTTCTATCTAGCTAATAATTTTGTTGCAAACTCTTTTCTTTATTTGTGTGGCTTTTTATTCTGCTTTTCTCTTTTCTTTTTGGTTTTTTTCTTCTTTTTTTTTTGCAAAGTAACACTCACTCCCTATGCTCCCTCGTTTCATATGCTTTTCTTTTATTTTTGCCTTGTCTTCGCTGCGGTGTGTGTGCCGTCGCTATGTCAAACTTATCGAAAAACGTCTTATCGCGGCAGTGCTGTGGAGCGCTGCAAGCGCATCGATTGCTTAGCGCGCATTCAAGTGTATGCAAATCAAATAGCGGTACACAAATTTACTTTTACTAAAGCCACTTAAGTTATGTAATTGAATATACTACTATATGAAATTATAGAAACGAATGTGGAAAAGACGCAGATCTTCAAATTCACAAGATTGTTTATTTTTAGTTACATTTCAGCTGTTGGGATTTTGTTTTGGTTTGGTTTTGCATCAGCTGATTTGTTAGTGCGCCAGTGCTGTGAAGAGGGACAAGTACTTTGACTTTTTGGCGCGCCTTCAAATGCATGTTAATCGGCTAAATATCAGAACGAATGGTGCTTTTCTCAACCAGTTTATTTATTCAATAACCCGTGCCTAAGTTATTTATCTATATTACATATATAAAAAAAAAAATGTAAAAAAAAAATTGTGTATACATAAATCTAAATAATACATCACATAAAATTAACCACAGGTTTTTTGAGTTAATTTTTTTCCTTTTTGGTTTTTAGTTTGAATGCTTAGTTTTACATCAGCGTTCCTCGCTGCTGTTGATGCTGCTGATGCTGCTACTGCTACTGGCATCTGAATCACCGCCGCCAAGGAAACCATCTTTGTGCTCATAATTATGATGATGATGTATATGCTCTTCCTCCTCCTCTATGGACGGTGCCTGTTCAATGGGATGTAGGTGCTCATGATGCTCATGGTGATCATGAGCATGATCATGCTTCTCATGGTGATGTATATGCTCTTTAGTCTGATGAATTTGAATCGGATGATGCTCCTCGTGTATAATCTTCTTCTCCTCTTTTAGTACGAGTGGCTTATGATGATGGTGGACATGCTTAATAATCGTATGGACATGTTTTTCTATCTTCTTGTGAATGGGCACATGTATAACGATTTTCTTCTTTTTCTGCTGACTCCTAATTGACATAAATAGATACATGATTAAGATCGTTTCTCATAGTTATATGCCTATATAGAAATTATACCCCGCATTTGTTGCCTGCACACAAATAAAGAGAAGTACTAGAAATGCCAAAAACGAAAACTTCAGCAGCTGCAAATACATACAGAATATAAGTCCGTAACATATTTATGCTTATCATATACCTTACCGCATGTCGATTATCCATTATGCTTAGAGTTTGGGTGAAGATAAAAAAAAAGGCTTAAGAGCTGCGATGCGCTCGCTCGAGTTGCTCGAATTCGAATGTTTGCTGGCCAAGTGCTGCCAAATTATTTTATAACACGATTTTGGAATGCGGCGTTGAGTTTTCGGATTTTTGCTTCCGTGCAATTTCTGTATGTATATACATATATAAATATACATTTTATTTTTCTACTCATATGTATTTATGATACGAATTGTGGGTGGATTTCTTTTGATGCTCTAAGCACACAGAAAATGGGTAAGCATAGGCATATTGCTTTTATTGAAAGGTATGTAACAAGACAGTTAAGTGCCATGCATCACACGAGTCCATTTAGCCTTTTCGCTCCCCATTAATACATATGTATAAGAATATTTATATATCAGAGTAGGAAATTTGAAATTTGGCGAGTGGATCCATCGAAACATTCACAGTCTTAATTTCTTATCATAGATAACTTTGGCGGTTGTCTAAGAACTAGAACTAGCTAGGAAGTTTTCTGAATGGAGATGTGACATTTTTTAGATATAAATAATGGGTATTTCTATACAAATATCTCTATAAGCGACAATGTTTATCAGCTGCTTAGCAGGGTATATTCTAGTCGGGTACGTCCTATATTTGTTTATATTATGAATATGATACAATTGCAAGCCAAAAGCTTTGTTTGGCTATAATTTACTTATTATAGCGTATTCAACAATTCATATGGATGCATGTCTATTATTTTCTTTCTGCACTTTGCTTTCGTTACATATTCGTTGAATTCACAACTATTGCATTGTTTAGTTTCCCTGTGGCTTTGCCTTATTGTTATACGAAAACTTCTTTGCGTTTCTTTTCCACACAGACGGAAGACATCGCCAACAAAAGTCAGTCAACGGAAATATGTTGGAAATTGTGCAAGGCATCCAGTTAAGTACGATGCATGATAAATAAATAAATAAATAAACAATATACATACATATGTACATATATGTAAGTATTTATGTGTACATAAGGGTACATAAACATATTTGTAGTCGTGGTATTACATTTAATATGCGTTTGCAAGTAGACCATTTCAAATTGCATGTCTTACGCAATGACATGAAAATGTGATCAATTAAAAATTAGTTTTTCCTTTTTTATGCATTCTCCATGCATGGATATTTTCTCTTTTCTTATATGGAGTTGAGTGCATATAATTTGAATAATATAATCGATATACATATTTCCATCGATGTGCCGCTAAGCAACACTGCTCAGTCGTATATCACTACATTAATTTTTGCTTTCCATATGCAGTTCAGTGCATTTCATTTTAATAATAATCGATATTTATTTGTCTAGCGATATGCTGACTTAGCAGCACTGGTTGCGCATATTCACTATCGAACATCCACTCGCAGACACTACACGCACACACACAGAAACGCACACCCACATAAGAAGCAGAGCAGCAGCAAGAGAGCAGAAGGAAAAAACGCAAACAAAAATTCTTTGAAAAGCTCATTTTAAGGTAAATACAACCATCTTAATAATTACATTTACTTTCCAAATATGTTTAAACCACGTAGAAAGTCGCTAAATTAATGTCGCGCTTAATTGCGAGTTATTTAATTGGTAAATTTGCATCAATAAAAGTGTGAGACGTGGTTCAAGCCGTCATATGAGTAAACGCTTGCCGTATATATGAAAATATGAGTGTGTGTATGTGGGTGCTTCTTATGGGGCTGATACGCCCCTTGAGAGGAAGTTGCCCTAGCATTCTAATCAATATTAATGATATTTGCAGACAGTTATAAATATCATAGCATAAATCGTGCATGTGTAATTTTATGGTATTGCTCTACTACACAATCTTCCCAATAGTATATTAATGAAGTGACAAAACATAAAATTAAAGCAAATGAGGGCTGATAAGCTTTTTGTATGCGGTTTTGAGCTTGGTAGATTTAAAGGGTATTGTGGATAAACGTGATCTTATATACATTTCAAATGTCCTTTCCATGATTTCTAATGCAAAGTTCTTTCCATTCGTTCCAACAGCAAGTTCCCAAGCATAAGAGAGCGAGAGCTAGTGAGAAAGAGAGAACTGCACGATGACCGATTCAAAGTATTTCACGACTACCAAAAAGGGCGAAATCTTCGAGCTCAAATCGGAGCTGAACAATGACAAAAAGGAGAAGAAGAAGGAGGCCGTCAAGAAGGTGATAGCCAGCATGACCGTTGGCAAGGATGTTTCTGCCCTATTTCCGGACGTTGTAAATTGCATGCAAACGGATAATCTTGAGCTGAAGAAACTCGTTTATTTGTATTTGATGAACTATGCCAAATCGCAACCGGATATGGCGATAATGGCAGTGAATACGTTTGTCAAGGATTGTGAGGACTCGAATCCCTTGATTCGTGCGCTGGCCGTAAGGACTATGGGTTGTATACGCGTGGATAAGATAACGGAATATCTATGCGAACCGTTGCGCAAGTGCCTGAAGGACGAGGATCCCTATGTGCGCAAAACAGCAGCCGTTTGTGTTGCCAAACTGTATGACATCTCGGCAACAATGGTGGAGGATCAGGGATTTCTGGATCAGTTGAAGGATCTGTTGTCCGACTCGAATCCCATGGTGGTGGCCAATGCAGTGGCAGCGCTAAGCGAAATCAACGAGGCCAGTCAGTCGGGCCAACCGCTCGTCGAGATGAATTCGGTGACCATTAATAAACTATTGACGGCACTCAATGAGTGCACCGAATGGGGACAGGTCTTCATCTTGGACTCGCTGGCCAACTATAGTCCCAAGGATGAGCGAGAGGCGCAATCGATCTGCGAGAGAATTACACCACGCTTGGCCCATGCCAATGCCGCTGTTGTGCTCAGCGCTGTCAAGGTGCTGATGAAGCTGCTGGAGATGCTGTCGAGTGATAGCGATTTTTGTGCCACGCTGACCAAGAAGTTAGCTCCACCACTGGTTACGCTGCTCTCCTCAGAGCCGGAGGTGCAATATGTTGCACTGCGCAACATCAATTTGATCGTGCAGAAGCGTCCGGACATCCTTAAGCATGAGATGAAGGTGTTCTTCGTGAAGTATAACGATCCCATCTATGTGAAGCTGGAGAAACTGGATATTATGATACGTTTGGCCAATCAGAGCAACATCGCCCAGGTGCTGAGTGAGCTGAAGGAATATGCCACCGAGGTGGATGTGGACTTTGTGCGCAAAGCTGTGCGTGCGATTGGACGTTGCGCCATCAAGGTGGAACCATCGGCCGAGCGTTGCGTCTCCACTCTGTTGGATCTCATTCAGACCAAGGTCAACTATGTTGTTCAGGAGGCGATTGTCGTTATCAAGGACATCTTCCGCAAGTACCCCAATAAGTATGAGAGCATCATTAGTACACTGTGCGAGAATCTGGATACTTTGGATGAGCCAGAGGCGCGCGCCTCGATGGTCTGGATCATTGGCGAATATGCCGAACGCATTGACAATGCGGACGAGCTGCTCGATAGCTTCCTGGAGGGCTTCCAGGATGAGAATGCCCAGGTGCAGCTGCAATTGCTAACAGCTGTGGTGAAACTGTTTCTCAAACGCCCATCGGACACCCAGGAGCTGGTGCAGCATGTCCTCTCGCTTGCCACCCAGGATTCCGATAACCCAGATTTGCGTGATCGCGGCTTTATCTATTGGCGTCTGCTCTCCACCGATCCGGCTGCCGCCAAGGAAGTGGTGCTCGCCGACAAGCCGCTCATCTCGGAGGAAACGGATCTGCTCGAGCCGACGCTACTCGACGAGCTCATCTGTCACATTAGCTCGCTGGCCAGTGTCTATCACAAGCCACCCACAGCATTTGTTGAAGGTCGCGGCGCTGGCGTACGCAAATCTCTGCCAAACCGTGCCGCAGGCTCTGGCAATGCGAATGCTGACCAGGGCGAACCTGGCCAGGGATCCGAGTCTATGGTCATACCTAATCAAGATTCGCTCATTGGTGATCTGCTCTCCATGGATATCAATGCGCCTGCCATGCCCGCAGCACCGGCCTCTACAACCAGCAACGTGGATCTGCTTGGTGGTGGACTGGATATACTACTGGGTGGTCCGCCGGCACCTGTAGATTCAGTTGCTCCTGCCGGCGGTGCCAGCAGCCTGCTAGGTGACATCTTTGGCCTGGCTGGCACCTCCCTGTCGGTGGGCGTGCAGATACCCAAGGTCACCTGGCTGCCCGCCGAAAAGGGCAAAGGCCTAGAGATCCAGGGCACCTTCTCGCGACGCAACGGCGAAATCTACATGGACATGACCCTCACCAACAAAGCAATGCAGCCGATGACGAACTTTGCCATACAGCTGAACAAGAACAGCTTTGGCTTGGTGCCCGCCTCGCCTCTGCAGGCTCCACCCCTGCCACCCAATCAGTCGACGGAAGTCAGCCTGGCATTGGCCACCAGCGGACCGATTCAGCGCATGGAACCATTGAACAACCTTCAAGTGGCCGTTAAGAATAACATCGATATCTTCTACTTCGCCTGCTTGGTGCACGGCAATGTGCTGTTCGCCGAGGACGGTCAGCTGGATAAGCGTGTGTTCCTGAACACGTGGAAGGAAATACCCGCTGCCAATGAGCTGCAATACAGCCTGAGCGGTGTCATTGGCACCACCGATGGCATCGCTTCCAAGATGACCACCAACAACATCTTTACCATTGCCAAGCGTAATGTCGAGGGTCAGGATATGCTCTATCAATCCTTGAAGCTGACGAATAACATCTGGGTCCTGCTCGAGCTGAAGCTTCAGCCGGGCAATCCTGACGCAACGCTCAGTCTAAAATCTCGCTCCGTGGAGGTGGCCAACATTATCTTCGCTGCCTACGAGGCCATCATACGGTCACCCTAAACAGATCGAACAGCAGCAACATTTATGAAATTATAAATAATCTATTAATGTTAGCTATATATCTCGATATATAACTGAAATATCTAAATATTACGCGTTGATAAAAAAAATTCTGTTAGAAAGAAGGAAAAGAGAGGAAACCTCAAGCTGTRGCTTATTGAGGCGTATTATTATTATATTATATTATCCTATTATCTAATACAATTACATATATATAAACGACTATATATTGAACTCGACTCGATCCAATCGAAGTTGGAAGGCATTCCATTCGTTGTGGGGCTACAACGTATCATCCAATAATTTGCTACCCCAAACAAGTTAAGATATATGTTATACCTATACACACACATTATCAACTCTACGTGCAGATACCCTGTATTTTTTTCTATTTCACGTTACGAATATATAAAAAAATATATGTACCTTAGTTATAAAACTTAAAATACCTTTTTCTAAATTTTTGCTAAATATGGTTTAGTCTCTCTCCCTTAGTATACCCATTCTTCCCTTTTCAGATGATGTTCAGGGTATCTTGTCGTTTAGCTGTCTATGTATGAGTTTGTTCATTTCCATTCTATGTCAACAAAACTCTCATCTAGTCTCCTTACCGTATATGTAATATATTAGCTCATCTGCTACTATATGATAAACTTTCTTTTAGATGTATGATTTTTCATGTCTTCAGTTCTCTTCTGATTTACAGGGTATTTCTCATAAGGGTAGGCCTTGTCTATATTAGTCTTATTCTACTTTTCACCATCACGGCTTTAGTATACCTTCATTTATACTTATGAATGTTACAGGGTATTTTATCCATATTCATCTCACACAATATGTTTCACCATAGTGATTTCGCTATATACATTGGTATATATCCGGGTATCGTGTATTACGTCGTACATTCCTTTTATATACTCACATATTTTACAGGGTATAATCGATTAGCCACCTACGCGCACATGCACCTGTGCTTACATTAACCTGCAAAAGCTGTTCCCCCCAGCAGAAAAGCTCAAACAGGCTTCGGCTCTAAGGGCTTTTAAGCTCCTGCTTAAGGGTTGCTGCCCACAGCTCTAGCTATCTCCCTCCCTCTTGGTGCGTCTCGCCGTATGCAGAGGCGTTTGCATTGTCCTGTTGTCCCTGTTCAGCGCGAATTGCCCTGCGTTGTTGTACCACAAGTAAATTTATCTTGGCCCCGATAGAAAGGACGAAATTCCTGCTGCCAAATAAGTGATACACAATAGATGGAAAATAAGGGAAAATATATCAAAATAACTTGAATACAGAGCAAATATTTTAGCTCACGGAAAAGTTCATAGAATTAGTTGAAGAAAATAGCATTTAAAGTCTTCCCAAAACTGTGCCCGAGCCATTTTTTGTTTTGGGCCCAAACCAAACATGTGGCACAGCCCGATTCCTGGCTCTGCATACATATAGAGCCATCGCCTTTTGGGGCAGACATTTTGGACAATGAGTGAGACGGCGGGCAATGCCAGTGGAGTCGGTGCAGCTGGTGCTCCAGCTGCTGCAGCACTCCACTCCTTGGACAGCTACGATGTGATCTACGATGCTGGACAGGAGCATTCAGATGATATGCAAAGCGTTTCACATATGGATTGGCCATTTTTGATAAAGGTATTTCATATCTGTGTACATATATGTGCATGTGTGTGTGTGTATGTGCGTGTGTGCGCTTTGAGAGTGTGTCAACAACAGCTTTTTGGGCTAACTGACTCATCCAGGCAGCCAGGCAGCCAGGCAACCAGCCAGGCTGCCAAGTGGACAAGCAACTGTGTCAGTGCCTGCACTCGTCCTTGATCGAATTACAGTGCACGCAGGGCGGCAGGCGGCGCGTGACAAGGGGCGTGGCTTAAGGGTTGTCTGCGTGCATGCGAAATGAGATGCTTGACATGTTTACAGCTTCACTTCACTTCAGCGAAGGAGAGAGTGAAAGCAGAAGGACAAGATGAAAACAAATAAGTGACTAACGGGACTATATATGGGATTAGCTAAAATGACTCAAGATAATATATATCTTTCGGTTTCCTCAACAAAGCTGTAAATTGAAGACATATTTACAAAAAAGAGAATATTTGCAGAGTGAAGGTAGCTTATGAAAATATAGAAAAGTGAGGTTAGCTTGCAGAAATATAACTAATGTGAGGTCCATTCGAGCAGCTCTATTAGACAAATAATATAATATTATGATTAAAGAGATTTTGTATCTAATAATCTTTAATTATGCTTAAAGAAGGTAGAAAATGTGTCTAATAATAAATATGTATATAAATCCTAGGAAAATGCTCATATATCAAGCGGTCATTGCTTGCCCCATATATGCCATTTCAAGGCGTTCTAGGCTACTGCACACATATCAAGCAATCATACGCACAAGTAAGAATAGCTAAGCATATAGAAATTAAGTAAAAATGAGGTTATGTACGAGTTCAGTTATTTAAATAATATAAAGGAAACCTGTTCTTAGAATATATAGATAAAGTTGAAGTGCTGACTTAAATTATAAGGCAATTATACCAAAATTAATCGCTTTGAGCAAACTTTGAACTTTGACTTGACTGCAGGAAATGTAAGTTGAATAGAAAGAATGTAGAAGCCGTAGGGTATTCGCAATTCGTATATGCTAAGTCGAGCAACGCTCAATATATTTGAGGTTTAATGAGCTAAGTAAAGACATCACACTGATTCCCTTGATTGAGCTGCTTACACTCTTCTTTCTCCATCTCTAGGGCATCCTGGAGAACAGCCAGACATGTGCGCCGACCACACCGGAGACTCTGCCCGCTCTGCTGTGGGCCATCATAGCCGTGTTTGGCATCGTGTACGCCTTGCTCGGCTATCGCTGCCTGCGCGCTGTTGGCTTCCTGAGCGGGTTGATGGTGGGCGCCAACGGGATATTCATACTGCAGGACTTCCAGATCACCTGGCTGGGGAAGCCGGCTGACTCGGCGCTGGCCATTGTGGCCGGACTCCTGGGCGCCGTGCTCGGCTCCACGTATCCTGTCGCCTCGGTGCTGATCAGCGCCTTTGCTGGCGCCCTGCTCTCCGGCGCTGCGATGGCCGTCTGTGTGGCCACAATGCCGGACAACGAGTTCGGGGTGAGTCTTACGTCTTCTCAATCTCATTCTTCTTCATTGTAAGGCTTAGCACGTGGCAAATCTTTGCACATGTTGTCCACAGTCATCATTTTCTCTTCATTGCTAATTTAACATGCACTTTAAGCAGTTGCTAAATCTTCATTGTAACTTTTAACAAATCACATTGACGGACTTTTCTTTCTATTCAAATTCTTAATTAACATGAAATTTTGGCAGGTGCTTAAGCTTCATTGTAGATATTAGCTAATCACATTCACGGACTTTCTCATTCTCTTCCTTTCTCCCACCGTCTTTATCTCCAATCCGTTCATATATCTCTCATTATCTGGCTCTCTGTCCTTGTCTCACTTTCTCACTCTCTCGCTCTCTCTTTCTCCCACCGTCCCGCTCTCCCTCCCTCTGCAAATATGATCTGTTCTCCTCGTCTCTACGTCTACTAATCTATATATCACCCCCTCTCTCTCTCTGCCTGCCTTCTACCCTCTCCAGTATCGCGAGATCTATGTGGCCGTGGTCGGTGGAGCCGTCATCTGCTCGGTGCTGACGCTGTGCTGCGTCAAGTACGTGACGATACTGACATCGAGCATTGTGGGCACGGCTATGGTGATCGGCGCCATAGACTACTTCATGCACAGCCTGGAGACAATTAACTGGATACTGAGCATGAAGCCGCATCCGCTGCCACCGCCTTGCTATGGCGGTCTCTTGATAACCGCGTGGCCCTTGACCATTGTGATCAGCATCATGGTGCAGTGCTTCATCACCGCTTGGCGCGTGGATCATCGCAAGCGTCTCTACATGCGACACCATCCCCAGCATCCGCATGGCAATCATCATCTGCCCCATGGCCAGCCGGCAGCGGGCGCCGCGGGCGTCGGCAATCCTCATGTGCCGATGCGTCGATCGCAGTCGCGCACTCGCGAGACCCGCGAGGAGGCCAGGCAGCGCAAGTTCCGTTATCTGTATCAGGTGCGAACGGCACGCGGCGATATCATCTCACAGGTGAGTGGCAGGCTCGATACTCTGTTCACTGCTTGAAGGCGGGTATAAAACTCTATCGAGTCCCTATTCCACCTCGGGTGCCTTGTGGGAGTCTCTTTGTATTCGTGCTCAGACATGCGAACAGAGATAATCCGAGATTTGTGAGACTTATCGGGTCCCGTTTCATCTACTTCAGCACTAACTTTTCTCATTTGGCCGTTTCAGAACTTTGTGTCGGCTCTGCAGAAGCGCATTCAGCTAAGCGGCACGGAGACGCCGTCGGAGCGGTCCATTAAGACCAGTTCCAATGAGCGGAACACCTTCCGGAGCGATCGCACTCACTTCACGACCATCCACGATCCGGAACTGTGCGACAAAATCGAGATCGTGCGCGACATTGGATAACAAACAAGCAATAGCTACATGTAACTATATCCGTAAGGGGGGACCGGAGTGTGGGGCGTGGCAGATGGGACATGGGTCGGGGGAAGGGAGCGAGACGAAGGCAGAAACTGGAGCAGAACTTACGGTTAGGGATAGCTGAGACATGTAGCTAAGAGGACGAAGGCAAATTTTGATCAAGACAAAACTCTGAAGAAGCTTTAACTAAAACAGAAGGAAAGAGATAGAGAGGCAGAGAAGGGAGTAGTGGGTTAGAATAGGTCTGGGTTATGAAACTTGTTTTTGGTTAATCAAAACATAAGGAAGATATTTCAAAAATATCTCAGTTGGAAATAAATTTGCTTCATAGAATTTGAAAAAAAAAAAAAAAAAAAAAAACAATTTAGATATGATGGAACTATTGATATAATATGCAATATATAAATTGGGGAAGTACAGAGCTGAAAAGTCAATGAAGTATGTCTGGAAACTATAGCTGAAATCTATAAGAGAAAAGCAGAACTGCTCAATAAGTGATTAGGTGAAAAACAAAATTTGGTAAACAATTATTAAGATGTCAGTTGATTAGCGGCAGTTAATAGGAGATATCGAAACCACTAGCTGAATAGCTGAATAATCAGCATTAGCTGTAAAAATGAATACCTAAAGCAGAGTGTAGCTGAATAGCTGGGTAGGTAAAGAATTTTTAAAGAGTGTCTAGTCTGTTCGTTAGCTGAACAGCTGAATAGCTGAATATTCTAAAACCTCCGCTGAATAGCCGGATTTCCTGAGCAACATTTGAATATTTCGGCTGAATAGCTGAATATGAGCTAAATGGACTCAACAAATTTCTGGGAAAATGTATTCCTATGATATCTGTATTCCTAGTCAGTCCTTTATATAGTGTTGTCATACATAGCTCGCATAACATCTTTTTCAGGTCTATTTGGAACAAGCTATTCGCTAACCTTCTCGATAGATAACTAGCTACAGTTTCCAGAAACAGAATCACTTTGTACTTCAGCTCTGGCTTTTGCATTGCATGGCCCTTAGAGGGCGCGGTCTATTGAGATCTGTTTGGATCCACTTTGATCTATAGCTATAAACTAAATAGAGTGTTTGTTCTCCAGAAAGAAAAAAACAAAAACAAAATGTTACTAGCAGCTAAATGAGTCTAGAGTAGTCAAGAATATATAGTATTGCCGATCAGGTAGCACTTACGCTACATATATAGAGAGAGCTCTTCAAATAGAGATATAAGTACGTGATCGTAAGGTTATATGGAAACGTAATGGTTGGTCCAGTTCGAATAAAGCATTGTTTCTCTTCACACTAAGCTATATATGGTAGATATTTATATATATAGCATATATCTAAAGTGCATATTATATAGATTTTAAGCTAAGTTTCGCGTATTCCTTGTGTGCTCTCTTTAAACTGGAAACTAAAAACTTTTACTACTGATTTTTATGTATCTGTGTTATAATTATACTAAAAAGCATTTAACTAACCTATATATATTCAGCTATATATCACATATATATAGCCAGATATGTGTATATATATATATCACAGTTTTCGCAAGCTTTTCAATTTAAGGAACTCTTCAAATATCTATAGAGATATAGATATAAATATATATAGTACATTAAGTCTATGGCATTTACTATTTAACAACTGATGTTTCCTTCGATTTTTGATCAAGTACTCCATAATAATATCTAGTTGTATACCTATTAAGTACAATCAATTATGTCCACAAAAGCAGCTCTCCAAGTTTTCAAGTTACATAAATCAATGAAAAAAATTGAGTTCGGAAACTGACTCAGAATAAGCCGAAAGTTAATTCACTATAAAAGTTTAAATATAAAAAAAATAATACAAAAAAAAAAAAAA